TTCCTCTTGACAACCATATATTCTGTCTTCTTACAATTGATGTTTAAGTCCTTCTTCTCTTTCCTTTACTTGGCCTCTTCCTCTCGCTGACAACCATACATTTTGTCTTCTTACAATTGATGTTTAGTCCTTTCTTCTCCCTTTCCTTTACTTGGCCTCTTCCTTTTTGACAACCATACATTTTGTCTTCTTACAATTGATGTTTAGTCCTTTCTTCTCCCTTTCCTTTCTTGACCTCTTCCTCTCTGACAACCATACATTTTGTCTTCTTACAATTGATAGTCCTTTTCCCCTTTCCTTTACTTGTCCTCTTCCTCTGACAACCATACATTTTTCTTCTTACTTTTTCTTTTTTGCAAACAGCTTACATTCTGTCTTCTTTTTCAATTTATACTCAGTCCTTTCTTCTTACTTTTCCTTTACTAACTTCTCTAGGAATTCTTGTAATTTTGTCATCCCGTTCATGCTCACTCTCAGTAGTTTGAACAGGAGCAGTAGTTTATCCCTTGTTTCCTGTTTAGGATTGAGTTTCTGGTTCTGTCTAACATTTTTTCATTCTCTTTCCCTCACACTAGCCACTTGCATCTTAGTGACATCATTGTCTTGCTGGGGTGAATTGATTAAACAAAAAACAAAAAGAAATCTAATAATTCTTTCAGGATTGCTTTACTGTAAATGTTGAAGTCTGTTGTGAAGACTCATCCTTGTCTTACACCCTTTCTTTTTTGTATATTTACTGATTTCTCTTTCTATACCTATGCAGGTAGTTTATGGTCAGTATCAGTTCTGGATTATTCAAATATCCTTTCCAAATATCTGAGTTGCTCTTTCTGATATCATTCTGAATATAAATAATATATTCCTTGTTCCATTGTCTTTAATGGACCTGCATGTTATGCTTTCATTGCATTGAATGAAGATAACACAATCAAGAGTATGTCATTTGATGTCAACATAGTCTTACTGAAATAATAAGCAGATAAGTTACTTTTTTACTCCTTCCTTTGATGATTCTCACAGTCAGTCTATATGTATATATTTCTAGAGGGGTTTGTTCATCTCCACAAAACCCAACTTTTTAGATATGCACTTTCTTTAGTCAATACTGACATGGGTCCACTTCCAATATTTCAGTAAGATTAAGTTTTCACTGACTAACATTTCAGTTTTAGGAATAGGTACTTCAAAAGTATCAAAGTATATCTATCAGTAAATTGTACTGGTTGCTTATTCTGTGCATATCTACACCTCAATTGATTTATATATTTCTTATGACAAAATTTTCCACCTTCAACAATGTACATCATACTACCAAGGTGCTGAATAATTTTTCCTTCCTGCCAATTTTCTTTTCCGGCCTTAAAGTTTTAAAGAAAACTTTGTCACTGATCTTAAAACTGGCAAAAGTTCTTATTTTCTGGCAGTAATTTGGTAAAAATGGATCTAAGCCTCCCTAACAAACATGAGCTCTGCAAGTGACGTTTTTGCAGTGATGTTTGCATTTGACATCATTTGATACATGCTCAAAAGTTCTTGTAATGCTCTTTCTTCAGCTTTTAAGTCTTTAGCTTTTCTTAATGCTCTTTTGAAGGTGTCAACAAATTGTTCTGCTTGGCCATTCAACCTTAGATGATTAATCGGTGTTGTCAAATGTTCAATTGCAAAGCTTTTGCAGAACTTTTGAAATCACTAAAAATAATCTGGGTTTCATTATTAGATACCTCACTGTCAGGTACTCCAAACTTTGAAAAAAGTTTTCACAAGAATTGTTATTGCGGTAGTTTTACACTTTAATATCCCGAACCATTTTGTGAAACTGTTGATCATATTTAAATAGTATGAAGCATTTAGTGGTTCAGCAAAATCCATGTGTAGTCTTGTCTATGGTTTTTCAATACCTCAGTCATGCCTGGTAATTTATGTGGTGATTTTGCTGAATTACAACCATTACATTTTCTAACTGTATTTTGGATATGTTTGTCCAGTTCTGACCAATACACATTACTTCTCCTCAAGGACTTCATCTTCAATATTCCTGGATTTCCTGTGTAGAATTGTTTTAAAATACTTTTTTATAGTGACAACAGACTGCAGCTCTATCCATATAAGCAAAAAAAAACTATCAGAAATAGAAAATGCTGTATTATTATTAGCAGGTTTAATTCCAGTTTCACTCCATTTTGATTAAATGCATTCATATTGAATGAATTTTGATATCATCTGCCATGACCAGCAATTCTTTAATAGTGTTACACACCAGGCTTTTAATTTTACTTTTGCATTCCAGTGAAGCAATCACAGTATCTTCAAAATCTTCTTTAGATTTTGATATCAATCTGGATAAGTCATCCACATGTCCCAATTTCTTTGATGATAGAAATTCCATCTTGAAATCATATTTCAACAAAATCATAGACCAATGCCATAGCCTGTTTGCAGTATGCATGGGAATCCCTTTCTTAGAACCAAATATACTTAATAATGGATGATCATCAGTTTGCAGTATGAATTTTCCTATTATCATCCTGTGAAATTTCTTTACAGCAAAATTATAACAAGTGCTTCCTTTTTAATTTGACTGTAGCATTTTTCTATTTTTGTTAAACTTCTTGAAGCATGTGTAACTGCTTTCACTGAACTGTCTTCAAATTTATGGCCTATTACTGCTTCTATGTCATATTTGCTCACATCCAATGCTACTATTATTTGTCAGTGCAGGTCGTAATGTGTCAGTCTTAACTCTGAAGTAAGTAATTTTTTAATTCCTTCAAAAGCTTTTTGATATACTGCTAACCAATTCTATTTCGTAACCTTTTTAAGTAAATTATTCAGAGGTGCTCGCCATTTGTACATCTCTGGTGCATAAATATTATAACAATTTTAATCTGAGAAATGATTGTAGACTTACCAAATTTGTCAGGGAAGACCTATTTTTCATTGTACGTATTTGGAATCTGGTCTTTTTTTTTTTTTTGTCAATAATCTGACCTAAATATTTAATCTCGACTTTTCTTTTCACTGATATCTGAACTATTTGTACTTCTGTTGTGCCATTTTGCTCGATTTTCTCTGTACCATGCCTTGACAAATATTTTTTTTTTTTGGCATATTTCTGTAACAGTTTGTATTGTTAACTTTGCATCCTGTTCAAGTTTTGTAAGTATTCGAGAACGTATTTCCACATTGTCACTTTACATTTAACAAAAATTAGACATTTAAAACTCAAGGGAGATAATTCATCCAGTTTAAATTTCTCACATTCATTGTTGACTTTACCAACATATGTGACAAAATCTTCATTTTTGTCTATAGTAAGGTTCATACACTGCCAACATGTATAAAACAAGAGAATTCTTTTCACCAAAGATTTTCGATAATATCGACACTGTTCCGTGAAATGACACTTTTTCTGGAATATTCAGCAAAATCAGATATTTTTAATGTTCAATAGGGCACAATTTTCATCTGCCCGTCCTTGACGTTCTTCTCTGAAAATGGCCTTCTCAAGTATGACAGGAATGTAAGGTTTTCTTCTGAGACATAATGAAATTCATTAATTGAGTTGGTGACTAAGCCCAGGAAAAATGAAATGCATTGTCTGTTCTTCACTTTTCCAGGATTTCTTTAATCTTTTCTTGATATTCAATCCATTCCTGTAATAGTTGCTGAATAAATATCTTCAATTCTTCCAGTGGATTTTGTTCATACAAGTAGACCTTAATGAGGAAGGAAAAGTTGTTTTTATCCTAATAACCATATATCATACAGTTTTGAAGTTTATTGACTTCTGTGTAGCACTATAAATATACACAAATTCCATCAAAATTTTTTCCATGAATTTCGAATTTTGCCAGCTATTTATGCTAAGCAAGAGGAAACAAAACATTTTGTGTGAATTTGAATTCTTATCACCATTGTCTTCTAAGTCTTCATTGTATTGAATGAAGATAATACAATCAAGATTAGTATGTCACTTGGTGTCAACCTAGCCTTGCTGAAATAGGTAGTAAGCAGATAAGCTAGAGATGTCTAACTCTCTAATTGTTTACTCCTTCCTCTGACAATTCTCAGCATCAGTCTACATGTACTCACATGAGGGCAAGTCCTCTTTTCGAGAGGTGTGCTTATCTCCACAACATGGCACTGTTATTGTCCTATTTCTAGTCTGATTCTCTAACACTTACTAATAATACCCTTTTTAGCTCTTGATAAATTGTTTATCTCCCTTAAATCCTGTTCCGCCATGTATTTACTCAAGCTTGATAAGTAGGTTTAGATTTGGTTTGGTTTGTTTTATGGCATATCAACCTCATTGGGTTATTTAATGCCAACAAGTTTTTTTCCAAAGATGTATTGCTGATAATAATTTTATCCAAGAATATATTGCTGGTAATAATTTTTTCTTCAAAAATTCATTGCCCATAGCCCAAACCTTTACAGGTGCTATCACCCCAGCTCAGAGTGGACCTGGGAACACCAGCAATTAAGAGGTGGTCCCACACTACTCAGAACCTCCTGATCAGAGGCCTTGCTGCCAGATGTAGTTTATCATCATACCCAGGACAGGATAGGTAGATTATACATTGTTTTCCTCTCTTCAGTCTTTTCCTTGTGTGAAATATAAGTGTCCTTTTTGTTTAGTCCTTTCTTGTTGCTTTCTTTCCCTATCTTTTCTATGCGTATTTTCCCTTCTATGTCTGCTATCACCACTGTATTGGTTTAATAAGTCCTGTGAGAAGACACTTGTCTTATATGTCTTACTATTTTTATATATTTACTGTATTCATTTTCTATCTGCATGTAGGCAGTTTTCTGCCAGTATAAATTCTGGATTATTCTAATATCCTTCCCAGATAAGTCAAGCTTAATTAGCCATTTTAACAATTATTTGTGGTGAATCTTGTCAAACCCATTTTCATATTGGTGCGATACAAAATAAGATGTGTGTCATAACAAAAAATATTATATAATGTATTTTCTAAAAACCGTGCAAAACTTACAGGCAAGGATATTTGTGTAGCGGTTCTTTGTTCTGTTGGCCTGCAATTCAGCTGCTAAATGAGTTTTTGATGGGCTGCTAGTTCGTAAAAGCTGAAAAGTAAAAAGAATAAAAAAGATAAAATGCTTATTTAAATATAAGATGGCTCAGTTGATTAATACAAATGGAATAAATATTTCAACCTCAGATCATAGCAGAATAGACTACATGCTCAGTGTAATTCAGAAAAGCTAGTAGACCTGAGGTGCCCTTCTAGTGGCCAAGTGCAGATTTACATGACCGGATGGGCTGTACCTATGTTGCCAGTGTGGGAAACAACTGTATTGCATGTAGTTGCATAATGGTCAGTCTCTCAGACATCACAGCTGAGAATGTAGAGTCCACATTTCTTATGACGGGCCACACACACACACACGTACACTGACTAACAGTCATTGATGAGTGGACATGTAGCCAAATGGTAAGGGAGTTAGCTTTTTGATCAGGAAACCCAATTTCAAATCTCACCATAGTCAATTTGTCAAGATTTTAATTTCTTAATAATATCAAACTTGCGAGACAATCCTAGTGTGTCATATGATGGAGAAGTGCCTGAAAACACCACAATAGGTTGAACCAAACCTTGTGAGGGAAATTGGGTGGGCAAAGCTGTTTGGAAGTAGTCGAAGTTTGTAGGCTGTAAATAGTTAATTTCAATCAAGCATTTGCAAAAGAATTTCGTTTCAGCATTAGATGGTCAATGAAGGTGGTGATAATCCATTAAATAAATGAAAACCAAACTAATTGACAAAGTACCAAAGTGAAATAAAAGGTTATGTTGAATATGAAAGATTAAATCTCATGTTATCATTATACAATATTACCATGACTTCTTTATGTAAAAATAAAACCCTGGATCATCTTGCAAATGTTATATATATATATATATATATATATATATATATATATACACCAAGTGGGTCAATCTGTTTTATGCTTGCATGCAAACTACAGGTCATGAAGATTGCATTAAACAGACTATCACCACTCGGTATTAATCTCACTGTCCAATTTTATATTTGCTTACACACTGTACTGTCTATATTTCTGAGATGAGGTATTATATACACTATTTACATTATTCACCTTTATCCACTGTGCCATGTGTTCTTGAGGACACATGGCACAGGGGATAAAGGTGTTAGTTAGATCCAGTGACATGACCCAAAGAGTGTGAGTTCAATACCCGGTTAAGGTAGTGGAGAACTTAGAGAAGGGAATTAAGTGGAGATAACTGACAACTGACATCCATTAAAGCATGGCACTAGAACAATCTACCTCAGTGAGTGAAATAAAGGGTTCAGTTCGATATTACAACTACCTGAAGAAGGCCGGAAAGCTGAAATGTTGTAATAAATATGGCAACAAAGATGGGGACAATAGTCCGAATAATGTAACTATTGCATGCACACTATCCGTGATATTGAGCACTTTTATCCTTAAATATAGCATACCTTAAAAATATATCTTTATCATATATATATAAGCAACAAGAAAGCACTAAATAAAAAGGACACTTATATATATGATAAAGATATATGATATTATTATTTCAAGCATTATTTTTAGTGGATACCCATACGTAATGTTTAGTCCTTTCTTCTTGCTTTCCTTTACTAAAAAAACACCTTTCCAATTGATTTACCATTTGTCAAATTTTAGCATAATTTGCACACTTATAGTGGTTTTTTAAGTGCAATTCATATGTGGCACAAAGCCGAAAGTGTGTAGTACCCAGTGAGGATCGAATTCATTACTTGGGCATAATTGATCTAGGAAACAAGCTTGCTAACCATTACACTATGAAGAAGTGCCCCAATTCACGTACATATAGATCAACTTATCCCAATTACATATAATGTCAACACTGAGGTCAACATAGAGTGATTTAAAGCAATCTCCAGGCTGTGAAGCTTGCGTTCAAGCATGAAATGAACTGTCATCACTTAGTGTGGACCTCAGTGTCCACTTTCAGATTAACATAAAATCTTTAAGAATTGAATAAATTATAATTTGAATGAAATTTTAGCCTGTTTCAAATCAGCTTCAAAATTCTAAATTATTATCTTTTAAGAACTAAATTTTTTTTCTCAGAATTTTTCATAAAAGTAAATAAGCAGGAAGATTGGAATAAAGCAGAAGTTGGAATTTTTTAAAGAAAGTAACAAGCACTTGAATAGACCTATTACAGATGAAAGATTAAATATTGGTCCTTTATTATAAGTTATATATAAATTAAAATATTCAATGCATGGACCATTCAGTCATGCATTCATTATTGCTGCTTCATCTGTTTTGGTGCTTCCAAAGAAGAATCTGTAATGTTATCAATCCTGACCTGGCAACTTGGCTTTAGTCACTTTCTCACCAACATAACACAGTTTTTTTTGATTTTTCTATAAATATTTCCATGGTAATTGTTCTGATGAATTCCTCTTTGGCATCACAACTTCACAAACTTGAGTGCTGTACTAGATTGGTGGCTAGGTCTCATCATTTTACATAATAATAAAAATAAACTAAAACTTCTTGAAGATATCTATATTAAACAATTGAAACAAACCCTTAATAAAAATTAATTATGAATATTATATAAATGTTTTAAATGCTTACAGTAGATAATTAGCTTTTAACTAATAGCTTTAAATGTTTTTTTTTTTAAATAGACAGACATCTTAATAACTAGGTTACCTCCCTTGACATTGTTGCATGACTATGCTTACATCATAAAATTTAAAATTCATACAGTACATAAGTTTAGTGTTTTACACTTCACAAATAAAAAAAAATTAATTTTCAGATAAACACAACAGTTTTGTCTTAGAAAAATGAATGAACACAGCAAATTAGTCTTAGAAAAAAAATAGACTTTGATGATGACATTGTGCTAACGTCGAATGTACTCAGAATAAAAGGAATGTGGATCCTGTAAAGAATAAGTAATAAAAAACTGGTCTAAGTTATTTAATGAGACGTATCTTCATATAAAGAGAGTGAAATAAATGCTAGGTCCAACAAGGTCAAAATGGCAGCTAATGTACAAAACTACCTCAAGAATATTGGTAACTGAGGTGAAAGATGGCTTGTCAATTTTAACGCCTCCAAAACTAAACTTTTCCCTATTGAGAAACCCTTGCTGCCTTCCATCAGCATTGCCGATGGCATTCTACAGGAACATGACATGTTGTGCCTTCTTGGGCTACCATTCTCAGCAGACATGAAATGGAAAGACTATATTGATTCCATTGCTAGGTCATCTGCTAAGAAAGTTGTTTCACTGTGTTGGATGAGACAATTCTTCTCTCTTGAATCTCTCTTGCTTATCTATATGTCTACCTTTCACCCATGTTCAGAATATTGCTGCTATATATGGTCCAGTGCCTCTGCTATTTACTTGAACCTCCTTGATAAGATCCAAAGAAGAATCAGCAATATTATTGGTCATGATCTGGTGGATCAGCTTTAGTTAATTGCCCACCACCGTAAGGTTGCCTCTCTGTGCTTTCTTTATAAATACCTTCATGGTGACTGTTTGGATGAGATCTTTGCTATGGTACCTAGACTGCATGAATTTGATCCCAATACTAAACTGGTGGCAAGATTGCATGCTTTCCAGGCAACTTTAATTTGCAAAAATTTAAATGCAATGTCAATCGCTATCTACTGTCCTCCTGAATTAACCTTTCTCTTTCTACTCATTACTAATGTTTTTGTTCTTAATCCTTCTACACCTTGCAACTCCTTGTGTGTTAGTGGCTAATGACAGTACTGCCTTGCTTGGGGTGACCCTGATTTTAAAAGAGAAAAAAAAAATACAACAAACTACAATGAAATTTCTTTTTTTAACTAGAAATGCTGAAGATACAATTTAAACTTTTAATATTTTGGTACACAGTGTATCTTGATGTGTAACAAACAATTTTATTCTGATTTCTCTTGTTACTTTTATTACTTTTGTTTTTAAGTATCACACAGTGTAATAACAGGAGTTTTGTTAAGAAAGGAGATGTGTTGCATGCTCCTGGACATAAATTTACCAAGGGAGATTCCAAAATTAGTAAACTCTGATTACTTTTTCACCTTAATTGTCGGGTTACCTCCTCCTAATTTTCAAAACTGCTACTTGGGGATGCTTTCCGGTACTGTAAATACTCCATGATAATTATTCACAGCCTCTTTTTTACTTTTTATGTCACATGTAAACTTCTCATGGAAGAACATGACTATAAGACATTCCCTTTTTGGAACATGCATGAACAATACACACACACACACACACACCTTCCACTTAATTTTTCTAGGACGTTTTCCTGCACCAAACTACACATACACAAACAATTCACTAGCTTAAATGTTTTTTCTATTAATATTCATTGTTTTATAACACAACAATATTCTATTGTATATGTAACCCTTTATTGTTAATAAATTATCATTTGTTTGGACATATATATATATTGGTCACTATTTTTTCTTTACGTTTTTTTATATGGACTCATACACTGAGTCTTCTGTGTTTGTTGTGGGTATTTCAGGAGACACACATATTTATCTCTCAAGACATACAATGGCCTGCAACATAAAATAAATTACTTTTCTTATTTAATTATTCTCAGACTTATTACAATGACTGATTAATACATTAATGTACTATTTTGTAAAAGATCTTTTGTGGTTCCATAAACTTCTATTTAAATTCTTGGGTATCTCAGCTTTGCAATTCTTGGGCCATATTTCATAGTTTACGAACCTGCTTCACATTTAAAGTTCTAATTATTTTGTTTTGCATTTATTAAATCTCTACTAGTTTTCAAAATAGTTGCAACAGATGTTATATTAAGTCTGATAAATTATTTTCAGTTGTGTGCGTATGTTCTGGGCTGGTCACATTGTGATGATAGAACACCTAAGGTCTTCATGTATAGAGAGCTTGACCGTGAACAAAGGACTGTTGGACAGCTGTGGCTCAGATATAAAGATAAGCTAAAGAGTAACCTCTCAGCTGTCAATGTGCCTCATACTAACTATGGGCAAGTTGCCCTGGATAGAAATAAGTGGAGTTATTTGTGCCAGAGTAGTATCAGAATTTTTTAAATTAGTCGTATTGACTGGCTAAGGGATGAAAGACCACAGTAAAAAGAGTCAACAAATATTCACATGGCTATGTCATGAGATCCCCACTGTTGCACAATGTGTGGATTTGTACGCAGCTCACTTGTGGGACTGAAGTGCCACCACATACAACACAAAGATAAAAACTGAATAAAGTTGTCGGATCCTCATATGTCAAAATCGATGGAAGAGTCCATCGCGTACACACATATATATATATATATATATATATATATACATATATAAAATCAGGAGATCAGCCAGTTCTTCTACCTTGGTTCCAACCTTTCAGTATCTTCAGGCAATTCATGACCAAAAGTAGAGGAATCAGCTCATTTTCTAATTTTTTATACTTAAAAGCTCTACATGTTAAATTTTTATATTTTATGTTTGTTGAGCACTTTTTAATACTACTGTTTCCTGGTCTAATTCAACTCTGACCATTTAACTTTTTATTTTTATATTTATTTATTTATATATATATATATATATATATATATATATATATATATATATATATATATCAAATTTAGTCCTATGAAGTCCTGAAAAGATGAAACATGTGACAAGTAAAATTTTTCCACTTTGCCATACAATTTCCCCATATATATATATATATATATATATATATATATATATATATATATATATATAGCCTACAATAACCTAATGAATTACTCAATCAGAGATCTGAAATACTTAATGGTTGTAGGCATAAAAAAGCCTGATTACTTGACAGATATAATGTGTTTTTTATGCTAAGTTTTTATCCATTCTTGTGGCCACTTTATCATTAAAATATTGTTCCTGATGATCCGATAGCTAAAATTAGGTAGATAGGTTATGGCTATTTAGGTATGTGTATATATATATATATATATATATATATATATATATATATATATATATATATATATATATATATATATAAACTTCAAATGTTATATATTTGACTAGATATTGTGTTTTTTTTTTGTTTTTTTTAATAGTTTTTGTTTTATCTACTGGACTGTGTGCACTCAAGAAAACTCAAAGAAAATGTGCCCACCAGCAAGATTCAAGCTTGTATACCACTGTGTCATCTGATCCTGCAACATTTGAACCCTTGGCTATAAAGAGCTTCACATTAAAATTTAACTTTAAAGCACATTCATATGTTCAGATTTTCTCAAAATCCATATCTGCATGGTTTCATATCCAAAATATAAACAAACCAATTTGTAAAGAATTAATGTATTTTATTTTTAATGCATCCAACATTTGTACAACAACATTTGAGCAATTGTATCTTACAGCCTTCTTTGGGTGACTCTTGTAATTGATAAGCTTTCAGGAATTTCAAAGAGAGAGTACAACAGCCAAAAACACTCTGACAATAAAAATCCTGATGAGGACACAAGTCGGAATGAATTGGCCGAAAAATAAACATAAAATCAATAAATTTAAAAATGAACTCACTTGAAATTCTTCACAGAATAAAAGGTTCGAATCTTTTTTCATCTTTTCAACTTTTTCATGGAATTCATCCAGATTGATGCTCCTTGTACCAAAAAAAGAAAAAGATTATTTTAAGATAATAATAATCTAAAAAGGATTACCTTGTTGGTGGGACCAAGAATATACCTACTCCATATCCCCCTACAGAGTTGTAGGATACCCCCACACCTCATTTTCTCAAAATGCCCAATACATAAATGTTCAAAATCTCACTCACCGGGACTTAGGCTCAAGGTTCATAACAAAGGATTTGTTTGTTTCTCCAATCTTGCGGACAAAAGAAACTTCTGAAAAAATAGGAATATCTTGTTTTCTGAAGCAGCTGTCAAGAAAAAAAAAAGAAAAAAATGAAATAAAAAAAATAAATATCATATATAAAAACAATTTTAGTTGAAATTAAATCTCTCTCAGAAATTGATTGTTTTTTTACAGTTTATCAACGCTATGTGAGTTATTTAAAGCCAAAACATATTTTGGATTGTAAAAATAATCCTTTTTCATGAGTGAAATATTGAATGAACAATTTTTTTCAGATACAATCTTACATCTTAACCCATAGCTGTGGGGAGATGAGATGTATTCATACCTTTCCCAAACATAGTTGCACATAACTGAATGTGATGAATTCAACTGAAATTTAGAGAAATAATATAATAGATCATTCTATCTTAAATAAATTAATGTCTTGTGGCATTTTTTAACATCAACTTGAGATTTTTCTTGATAAAAAGTTGCATAATTTTAACACATTCAACATTATGAATAGAAAACAATGAATAGTTTGTTTTTTTTTTTTTCAAGAATTATCACGAGCAAAACAAATAGCCAGATTTTGATGAAGAAAACTCTGACCCCAGAATGACTTCAAAATCCACAAAATACTTTTTATCCTTTAATAGTCAATTTTGCTTAGTTTAATTTGTAACATATATAAATGTAGGGAGGGAAAAAAACCCAGTGTTGATAAGATCGCGACTGTCACAAATCTCTACCTGGGCCTCCCAATCAGACTTTCCCACATCACATTTTGCGAAAGTGAGTCGAGTCGTAAACCTTTTCAAGGTGTCCAAGTTAGAAAGAACGAATATGCAATTCCTTTTTATCCTTTAATAGTCAATTTTGCTTAGTTTAATTTGTAACATATATAAATGTAGGTAGAAAAAAAGTAAATGTTGATAAAACAGCAAGGGTCATAAAGCACTGCCCGGGGTCCCTAATCAGCACCCCCCCACAGCTGGTGGGTTCAAGTGTAATACACACTAGCCTTGTTCAGAAGCTACCAGCACTATACATTAGTGGCAAGTCTTTGCAGCTACCTCTGAAATCTGAAATAGCACTCATAAAAATGTGCCAGATTAATAATTGAACATTATATACTGACTGCCAGATTAGTGATAGCCACTCTATATCAAGAACTTAAATTCTCCCGATCTGATCCCACTAAATTTCCTAAAAGACCCACTATTTTAGTAAATAAGATTAAGTTACAAGGGTCACTTGTGATTCATAAAAGCGTTATCTTTTTTGAAGATTACTATACATTCTATGATTCACCACAAGAGGAATAGTGAAGCCAATTTTAAATCCTTTCTCATGAAGCTATATAAATTAAAATTGTATTATTACTTATTTGAATTGCCTCATCCAGTGTTCAGGGATAGTACACACCAGCCCTGCTTTCTTTTACAAGACAATTCTTATGAATTAAATCTTATGGCCACTTTTACAATTAAAAATGTCTTCTCTTACTCAGCAAATCATTTTTAACCAAGGCTAGATTGCAAAAAAAAATTCTAATTCCAAGGGAAAGGTGAACAATTTGCATGGTGCGTGAATACAGGAGGTTTGTCAACAAGTAAATATTTGATAAAACCAGCAATGTACAGAGTCAAGACTTATTCCCAGCACTAAGCAAAGCAAATTTCAGTTGAAAGTGTAATATGTTTACATCTACCACTTCTCTGCAGGCAGAAGGAGTAGTTCTTTTTCTTTTTATGTGCTGTGTTCTTTCAGAACATAGGAGATCATGGTTCTCCACTTCTCCCTATCCCTTCTAGCTCTCAATAAGTTTTGTCCCTCTGCTACCTCCCCTAGACCACGTTTTATCATCCACTTCCTCAAGCCCACTAGGTACGTTATGCATTGTTTTCCTGTGTCTCTCTTTCCCTCTATTTGCCCTGTGAGTATCAGATTCTCCAGGCTCTCCTTTCTCATTACATGTCCCAGAAACTTCAGCTGCCGCTTCCTGATGTTAAATATAAGCCTCCTCCTTGTTTGCATCCTCTCCAAGACCTCATCATTGCTAAGAAGTGGTTGGTAGGCTTAAAACTTTATTAAAGCCTGTAAGTTTTGACATTTTCTCTCATATAACATTCAGTCTTGGGTTTTCATTTTTAGACATTGGACTCTATACTAGCTTGGATAAAGACCGATAAACCAATTTAGCGGTCTTTTTTGTTCATGTTGTATTTCAATATTGCCATTTTAAAGTAATATTTATTATCCCCAATTTTTTTGCTATAATTTTTTTTAACATTTTCATTTTTATTGAACTAATAAAATAATTAAAAGCATTTAAAATTAATAAAAATGAATAACAAAGACATGAAGGACATTTCAACCAATTTTACCTAAGACTTCCTCAGATCAAAAGTTTAAACAAATAGTGGGTGAAAAAGATTGGTTAGCAGAGTGAGATATCCAGAAAGTCATCCCAGACCAGAAGAGAGATGAGAAAATATTTGGATTTTGTGAATAAAATCTAAGATTGTCAAATAAAAATTAGTTCAAATATGCAAATAACATTAAATATAATTAAATCATTTTACTCAAGACAAGATTAAAAATGATGACCTAATAAAAATTAGTCCAGTAATTTGCCAGGTTTTATTATTTATACAATAAAATAATATTAAATATAGGCAAATGATTTTTAGTCATGGTTAGATTAAAAATGATAACCTAATAAAAATTTGTTCAAATACACTGATATTTTTATTATTTATACAATAACATTAAATATAGTTTGATGATTTTTAGTCAGGGCAAAATTAAAAATGATGACCTCATAAAAATTGGTTAAAAAATTGACTATGTTTTATTTTCAACTTTTGTCTGAAATTTTAAAAAAATCTTCCTGTCAGCATGAAACTTACAATAACTGTTTTCTCCACATGAAGATAACTGCAGCCAATGATAACAATGCTGTAATGATCAAAATTGGCAAACTAATATAGACAGGACTCAGGTCTTTTTCTAGAATAGAAAATAAAATAAAAACTTATAAGTATACAGGCATTATTATATATCAGGAACAGCTTTTTGCAAAATAATTTTGACAATGATATATATGTTAATAATAAACAATTTTTTTAAAAAGACAAAAAAAACTTGAAAATGGCTATAAATATTTTATGAAATTAATTATAATATGACATTATGAAAAAAAACATTTACAGTTAACATCACACTTTCTCTTTGTGAAAGAATTTGCTTACACAAAAATTTTGTAAATCTTATTGATAAAAGATCGATATGAAATATTGGAATAATGTAAGAAAGTGAGTTTATATCACCTTTTCTAGCTTAGATAAAGGAAAAAACATTAAAACAGATATAGGTTAAACATCTTAACAAAATTTTAATGAAATTTAAACTTACATTAACACCAATATAATAGGTATGAAAAATTATATTGTTGGAACTTCAAAAGTACATGGTAATGAATAAAAATGCATATTCCCTCGGCAATTATAATTTCATGAAATCTAAAAGCAAACTTGGCATCACCTTCATGCAGATGTTATAGCATGTACACCATGTCACTCTTCTCAACCAATGGCAACACAACCAAAAACTTTTAATTTTGGCTTTCATTTGGAGCCTATATCTGGTGTAAATAAGAATGAACCAAAAGCCACACAAGGGTACTTGCATAAAGAACACACAGAAGTATACATGACACATTCACTTGCTCACACTATGTCAAAGAAAGCCTTCTCATTTGGACACTTATGCCATACAGAGAGATCGACATGGGTGAGATAAAATATTTACCTGAACAACCAGCCAACCTTTCTTCTAAAGGGTATTAGTAGCAAAATGATTGACTGTCAAAACAAGGCCAGTAACAATCAGCAGCAAATATATTTTAAATTCTTCACTGTTTTCTTTGGATATATTGGCTTTATTTTTTTGCAGAAAAAGGAGCATCCTAAGTGACTTGCTTCTATCCATATATACACATGCATACATACATATATTTTTTTTTCAAACATGTTTGGTTGAATGATATTGACAAGCTCTGTCTATAAAATCTTTTATTAAATGTTTCAAATTTCCAAATTAGTTGTTTCATGGAACCCATTTCAAGTCACTCAAGGTGATGTCATTTAAATGGTCAAACTGGAATTTTTATGTGTATTGTCTTCAATATACAGTCCTCTATAGAGAAAGATTCCATATTTAATGTTGGCTTTGTCATATTTATTACAATAGTTTCCAGAATTTTGATTCTTTCTTTGCACTATGTCCTGTATAAAATTTTGGTATTATCTACTAAAATCTCTCTAATATTTATATTATTTTGCTTATTTGTTATATGTTGATCTATATTCTTTATCTATTCTGTATAGGGATCTATATTCTTTATCTATTCTATATAGTGATCTATATTCTTTGTATATTCTATATAGGGATCTATATTCTTTGTATATTCTATATAGTGATCTATATTCTTTGTATATTCTATATAGTGATCTATATTCTTTATCTCTTCTGTATAGCAATCCATATTCTTTGTATATTCTGTATAGCGATCTATATTCTTTGTATATTCTATTTAGTACTCTATATTCTTTGAATATTTTATATAGTGATCTATATATTTGAGAATGCCATAACTGAACAGTAAGTTGTGTAAATATATAACAAAACACAATCCTTGAAAGCAAATGTAGTAACATTCAAATATACCTGGAAAAATAATATAAAATAGATATGAACTTTGGAAAATTTACGAATAACATAAAACAACTAATGTAAAAATTTTATAAAAAATTTGATACACACCTAGTTGATATCATTCAGTCAATCATGTTTAAAAGTATTTTCACTGCGGAAATACCTCTTATATATACAGGGTGGCAATAAATTCATTATACAATTACTATATTTTCCGGTTTACAAGACACTTTTTTTTCTTAAAAATATCCTGAAAAATATGTGTGCATCTTTCAAGATGAATTTAAGGCAACGCCCAGGCTTAAGTAAGCTTGGACGGTCACCTAATTGGCTTGACTGATAGGGACATGGATTTGTATATTTAATCATTACACTATAATGTTAGCTATCTAATTCAGCCTTTTATATGATGTAACCTCAGTATTTAGCTTTATTTCCAAGAATGGTGTTTTCCTTTTGTCTTTCAATGATAATGTGATTAAGCTTATCAGAGAATATGAAAGGAACTTACTTAAAATAAATAGACAAAACTTATGTATATTATTTAATGAAAATGCATTAATATATATATATATAACAAATGCATAACTTATGCACACACTCACACATGCATAAATATTTGTTTTCCTGAACATTCACTATACACTTCACAAATCTTCTTTAACCCTTTTAAGAACACCTTTTCTCTTTCACTTAACTGTCAACATTATTATTAGACTGTTGTTTTAATCTTTGTTTTGAGCATATGAAGGATTATTCACTTTATTCTTCTCTCCCATCTAAAATATCACCTTCCTTTTCTTCTTCTAAACTGTATTAGTGTTGTGACCTGTTCAGAGGCCAGAAAGAAAGACACAGAAGACAAAGGTAGGTTGAAAAAGGTATATTGAAGATATATACAAAACAATAGTGTTAGTAATAAGTAGATTAGCACTGCATCTACTACTCCACTCCACTCTACCCGACTCTTGCAGTTTGTATTTATGAGAGGAGGAAGAGTTCATTCTACTGTAGGAGGTGAAACAAGTATACTGAAGATCTATAGAAAACAATAGTGTTAGTAATAAAGTAGATTAGCACTGCATCTACGACTCCACTCCACCTGACTCTTGAAGTTTGTATTTATGAGAGGAGGAAGAGTTCATTCTACCGTAAGAGGGTTTACCACAACAATTAACAATAAATGATATCATCAAAACAAGGACACACCAATAATCAGCAACTGTGTCACCCTTTGTAGCAATATTTTAAATTATTCACTAATTTCTTTGGATGTAAAGCTTTTATTTTTCCCCACCCTAACTTACTTTTATTCATTTTATTTTCCAATGTCAAATCAATTTATTTACATTGTAATGTTTCCTATGTACAAATCTCTTTGACATGTTCATAAATATATTTTTAAATTTTATTAACATTTTTAAACTTTATTTTCCAAATAAACTGAAACATTTTTAAGTAGCAGGGTAGCAATGAATCTTTGAAAAAAAGTTTTTTGATAATGCTTACATCAGGGAATAAAACAGCTTAAAGATCAAACTGGTTTTCATGTATTCCTTCTTATATAAATCTTACTGTATATTTTTTCCTGCAATTTTTATATCAATAATGCAAGAAAGATAATTATTTCTCTCTCTAACAGCATCAGGTGGACAATGTTTTTTATAACATTGGCAGACTGTTCTTATGAATAATGTAAAGAAAGGATTGTTATACTCTACTTCAAATTATACCTCTTTTTTCATTCACTCCACACCAAAACTTGGATGTGAATGCTACAAAAGCAAAATTAAAAATAAAAAACGTTGCTTAGAGAAGAGGGCCTCCAAACATTGTTTCCATCTTGCAAAACAAATCCTTCTACCAAATTTAAATTAAAATTTAAATGTTGGAGCAAATTATGTACATTGCCATTAAAGCAAAAGCATGAGAAAAACACTGTGACATGTATCTACCATGTCTGCTTAAAAGGACCTGTTCAGCATCATTCAAAGCAATGCACAGAGTTCACCAGTATTCTCTGGGTCAAATGACTCAACACAAGCCTCAATTCCAGGCCAATACACAAACAACATCCAGGCCACTTCCCTTGCCAACAAAGAGACATTCCTGTAGACTTCATCTTGTATATACATTGTTTTTTTTTTTTTGTTTATTACTTTTGTCACTATCCACTGTACATAACAGAACTTTATATGAACTATACTTTTTAGTTCCAACATTCTAACCCTAGCAGTTGCTAGTTCAATCTCTAGGTCTGGTAGTGCTGAAAAGTCACATCTTCTGGTTCAGTGGAAGAAATGAACAGGTAACACAAAGGTCATTAAGACTGGGGTGTATTAAATGATATGAAATATCCCCTAAGCATTATTCCAAGTCTAGTGTGAGTTCAATCTCTAGGTCTGGTAGTGCTAAAAAGTCACATATGTATCTATTTCTTCTACTGAACCAGAGAAATACATCGGTGAATAAGATAGGTTAGTATTAATCAATATGAAATATTGCCTTAGCATGTTTCCCTGGCTGTTGTGAGTTCAATCTCTAGGTTTGGTAGTGGTGAAAAGTCATATCCTCTGGTTCAGTGGAAGAAATGGACAGGTAACACAAAGGTGATTAAGACTGGGGTGTATTAACTGATATAAAATATCCCCTAAGCATGATTCCCTGGCAGTTGTGAGTTCAATTTCTAGGATTGGTAGTGCTGAAATTTGTGTTACTGGTAAATATCAGAGTGATGGAAAAGTTTCCCACAGCATCTTTTGAACAATGTTAGGGAAATCTTAGAAATGTCTTTGTTGTTTACTCAGCTCTTTTTTGGCATTTGAAGGAAACAAATAGGACACCTAAAGTTAAATGGAAAATTATTAACAAGGCTAGAACATGTAAAACTTGGGATGACCCATGCCCTTTATGCCTCTATGAGAAATTGCACATAATTAAGCTTCTAAATAATAATAATCTATTAAACAATAGACACGAGTTAACGGTTTTTGTAGGCATCATCAGATTTTTTGGTTTGAACTATTAGCTAAAACTAGCATACAATATAATAACTTGTTTAATCCATAGCCCACTCATCAGATTCATAGTTTGAATAATTAACTAAAAACATGCATACAATATAACACCCTTCATAATCCATAGCTGAAATAAATAGTTTAAATACCCTAAAAAAAGATAACCCTTTATGAAGTCGTCAAAAAACAAACGTTACGACAGTTTTTTTTGTTTTTTTATATGCACAAATCCCTTTCATAAAAAAATAAAATAAAAAAATAAATAAATCTCCATAGACATGCAAACTAGACGAGGGTTAATAAATCTTCCGTTTCAAATTTAGACACCCCCACCTTTCCCTGACTTGACATCTACGAAAGGAACTCTATACTGATACTTATTATTAACACCCAACACCCGCCTACCCAACTTAAACAATTTGCCCTAGCTGTTACCATGGAAATTTTGATTTCAATTTTTAAAACACGTAAATTTCAGAAACACATTATTCCAAAAAAATTTCGCTTGAAGATGGAACAGAGCTTTTTTAACTCAATTTAATTTAAATAATTATATTGAAGTTTTCAGCTCTTGTTTTGAAACATGGGACTTCTTATGTCGTGATTTGGAATCATATTTTTAAATAAATAAATATATATATATATATATATATATATATATATATATATACTTTATAATTATTTTTTTAAAAATATGATTCCATCACGACATGTTTTAAAAATAGAAACTAAAAAACCAGCTCAATTTCATCCTCATTTTGGAATAACTGATCTTGAAATTTATGGAGCTTATATATATAATCTACTGCATCTTTTAATCTTCAAATAACAGATAAAATAAAGAAAATGAAATATAGACTTTTACCTGTGTAAAAGAGTCCAGAATATTTCGTTTCTGAGCACCCACCTCTTGTGCACATAAATGCTTTAATCCTAGAAATATAACGAAAACAAATTTGAAAATTGTTGTAATGTAAGCAAAGAGTCTGTTGAAATTGTGGGGAAACACCTAACTGATTGCTCTCCCACCAACTATGGGGATAATAGGGAAAGAGACAGAAGGCAACAAAAAATAATACTGTCTTGGAAACCACAGCAACTTGAGGACCACAATGCCAATGGGATCGACTTTTCAAAACACCATGTCTTGCCAACTGCTGTTTTCCCCAAACTTTTATTTGCTGGAGGCATCTTACAATGGCCTGGATCTTGAACATATGGAGTGAGGACCATATCTAGCTAGACATGCCAAAACCTTGATGCAACTAGTGTTGACAAAGATGTCTGGATACGATCCGAGGCCTCTTTTGCATCTGTACTGACATGTGATAACCACAAGAATTAATACAAAGGACACAAGAAGCTTGCACTGATGATTTGGAAGAAAAACACTCCTACTAAATTAGGTATCTTCACTTTTTTGTTGAGAAAAGAGGACAGCATGATGAAAAAAGGCCCCAAACTTGAGGAAAACATTTTATTGTCAAAATGTTTGTTATTATTAAGAGAAAAAAAATCAAAGTATTTTTTTTGTTTATTTTTAAAATTTTTTAATCCTTTCTTGCATGGTCAAAATTTTGGTTAAAGATCTTATGCTGTATTTTTTTTTTTTTTGTCTGTGACTCAGCCAAAGATTATTATGGGAATTTTAGCATCTTTTTGACTGTTAAAAAAAAAATACATTATTTTGGAAATTGTTGCAAAAATCAAATAATTTTCTGATTTTAATTAAATTTTCATGTCTTATTACTATGGGAATTTTAGCATCTTTTTGGCTGTTAAAAAAAAAACACATTTCTTTGGAAATTGTTGCAAAAATTAAACTTTCAGCATCTTCATATTTATATTAGTTAAATGCAGGACTCCTTGGAGAATTTAAGTCATTTGTCAAAAAAAATGAATGAAAAAATGTATACTGCATCTTCCAATCTTTATGATTGGTACTTTATTACTTCACCATCCCTTACTTCCGAGACAATGTCCGCTGAGACGACTGAGACAAGGATCTTCTCTTTAGATTTTTTAATGAAGAACAAATAAAATATGAAACTTCACCTGTAACTTCTTCCCGGCTGCAAGTAACCATTGCAATAATATTTTCCCATATCACAATCTTTGTCTGCTCCCAAAATATAATGGCTGTTCCCATCTGAAAAAATAAAAGATTTATAAAAGATTTTCAAGAGTCAAATGATAAAATAAATTCTTTCTGGTTATTTATTGGTTATTATCTAATTCATGAGAGTCAATGTGACATTAATATACCCTCTTATTTTATGATAACGATTCTGACCCAGCATCTCAACTTTAGTCACTTCCCCATAACTGTAACATAGCATCCTACTGCAGGAAAATCTTCTGCCTAGTCAGTCATAAATAGAAAGAGACATGATTACCCAAGCATGTATTACATGTGGTTAATTTGGCAGCAAGGTCTCATCTTTTTACTGTTGAAATGCTAAGGTTGAATTCTTTTGAAAATTTAAGCGAGTGCATTTTTACTAATATGACAATTTGAGAATTTCTTTTTGTTGTAAGAGTTTATCTGTCAATGTGGCACGAACTAAATAGTTCAATAAGTAAAGTAATGTCTCAGTTGTTATCCCGAAAATTTGCTGATTTAAATCAAATATGTGGTGCTGTTCAATTTACATTACAAATTACAATGAATCATTTGTATAAAAAGTAAGTGAAAAATGACTTTTTTTTTTTTTTTTTTTTTTTTTTTTTTTTGCACTTACACACTCCACAAGTTTGTATCCATTATCAATAACACATTTTTAAAAAATTTGCATTTTTATTTTTTCATTTCGGATGCTACCTAAATTTTACCAAAAAACAAAATAATTTCAATGTCTGAAGATGACTGAACGTACAGTCAAAAGTACCTGCGTATTGAAGGAAGACCTAATACAGATTACAATTTTAAAAAACAAGGATCATAACATTCATCAAATGATTAGAAGGTTAATGCATCTTTAAAACTTGTTAGTGAAGGAATTTCACAATTTTATATCATTAACTTTATTAATTTACTTTTTGTATGAATGATTCATTGTATATATAAAATTCCTGATTTTAAATCCTACAATACCAAATGTCTTTAATGCAGATAAAGATAAAACAATTATGAACACAATCTCCAAGTCTTTGATAAGTTAGGGTAATTAATTTGATTTATGATACCCACTTATCCCCAGAGATTACAAGACATTTTCCTTGCATACAGTTTTGTCTTTCTTTCATTTAAAGCCATAGGGAACATATTCTTCTCTGGAGAAATGTCTTTTAATAAAATATTCCACTATGGCTCATCCCCTTCACATTTGTTTCATATGCTATTATACATCCTACAAGCATATATATATATATATGCTTGTAGGATATATATATATATAAAGAACAAAAGACAATAGGAAAATTATATAGTTTAAGCTGACACGTTTCATCTAATGTGGACATTTTCAAGGCAAAAACAAAATGAATTTATTGAAATAAAGTATCTATAAACAACAAACAAAATATCATTAGTAACTAGAAGTTGAAATGCTATCACATATTCAATGTATCAAGTGAAAAGCACAAAAGAGACTTCATAAATAACAATTTAACAAATGCACTAGTCATACATAGAAATAAATTCAACCACAATTTTGATTTTAAAAATGCTACACTCATAGAAAAAAGTTTTATAATTTACTCAGAAGGAAAACCCTTGAGAGTGCAGTCATTGAATATTATCCAAATATTAATAAACATCCCAGTTTTTCCCAATCTCACCTTTCCTAACAGAATTATTACTCTCCCAAGCCAACATACACAACAAATATATCAAGAAACCAAAAGAAAATAGTTGAATTCATTAACACAACAATACAAACAATATTTTTAAATGTGAAAAAAATTATTTTAAAACATAAGTAAATGGCATAATTTTTCAGTTTGCCCAATAAATATGTAATAGCATTTCTAAATTCTTCTAGTTTCTAATAACATTTTATTTTTTGTTTATAGACACTTTGTTTCAATAAATTCATTTTGCGTTTTGCCTTGAAAAAGTTCAGACTGGATGAAATGTGTCTGCTAAAACTATACAGTTTTCCTATTGTCTTTTTTTCTTTTATAAATATTGTCTTTTTCTACAGATTAATTCTGAGAATTGTTTACATGTGTATGTATGTATGTATGTATGTATGTATTACATTTTACATTTATGAACTTCAGTGTTACATTCAAAATGTTTTCATATTTAATTCATTTTTTGGATTAATTTCCTTAAGTTATTCTAGTCCATTCTTTTGTCTTTTAATATATCACAGATATAATAATTCCTATTGTAGATTTTGGAGAATAGAAAAGAGCAAAGTATTTTCTCTCATTTTGTAAGCACCCTGTAACTATTAATTACAACTCTAGTTCAGAACTTTGCATTCATATGTGTGGATCTCTAGATTTGATTCTATTAATTACATTCTGGATATTAGAAAAGTGGAAAAGCTATTCACTCAATGCATTTTGTCTTTTTATGGCAGGTGTTCTTAAAATTCAGAGATAAATCCGTGTGTCCAGATAGAACAGCGGAATTTTGAGTAAAAGTTAATAAATATTTTCTTTTTTTTTTTTTTGTTATGGCTAGAAAATGTTTTTGTATTTAAGTTGTTCACACCTGCTGGATTTGAAGTAAACCCACTCTTAGTAAAGAGAAAAAAACAAAAATTGTGATCTACTCAGAATGGGCTAATTTCAAATCTTCTTGATCATGGCCTTCCACATCTTCCTGTCTATTGTAGTTCTTGATAAGTTTTGTTATTTTTTATTTCTACCAAGTTTTCTTCTGTCATCCATTTGCTCAAGATCATCAAGTATATTACATGCTGCTTTCCTCTGTCCCTCTTTCCCTCAATCTGCCCTGTGAGTATCAGATTTTCCAAGCCCTCATTACATGCCCCAGAAATTTCAACTCTCTCTTCCTGATGTTAAATAAGTTTTTTTTTGTTGTTTCCATTCTCTCCAAAACCTTGATGTTGCTCACATGTTCAGCCCATGGTATCCTCAGCATCTTTCTCTAGAAGCATGTTTCAGTTGCTTCAAGTCTCTCCTTCATCTTTGAGGAGATTGTCCAGCATTTCCTGCCATACAAGAGGACAATTATCACATAACAGCTGAGTACTCTTTTCTTTGTTTCTAACTGTTATGGAGTGATTTCACAGTGGAGGCTTGTATTTGTACTAAGTCAGTCTTAAAATAGGTTCGAAGTACAAAACGTTAGGAACTTGATACAATAGGTATGACGCAGAGTAATCTAGTTGTGGTCGCTGATACTTTAGTATCTGACTAACGGTTGTCCAGCATCGACTGACTGACCGACTCACTGAGCGACTATATTTAGTCCCCCCCCCCCACGAGGGCATCATGTGGCACAAGGCCAGTTTAACGTGGGATCTCCGAGCCCATGGGCTCGGCCAAAAATATGCCCATTGAACCCGTATAAACGGGTTCAGAGTCAGTTTACCTCCCCGAAAGAGAATCCGCCCTTTGGCATAGCCTTATTTGGGTTCCTCCCCACTCGAAGGCAGAGAGTTCAACCAGTTAGCCAGTCGTCCAACTTCAGACTGAACTCAGACTGAACCGCTGAGCGACTGACTCGTTACTCTTACTACTCCTACTTATTATAGGTGGGAGAGTCTATTAACTACAGAATAGGTGTGTTCCACTATAACACTAACAAAATTTTTCTGTCTCTTAACCCTAGAACACTAACCATGAGTATATAGTACCCAGCACAAATTTTCCTATTTTTAATTACAATTTTCAGTACCTGATTTTCTTACCTAAATAATGTTTTTCAGTTCCTATTAATGTTAACTCAAAGTACAAAGTTTGAAGAGTCTGCATGTAAAATATTTCAAATAAAAATTTGTATTTAATATTTTTTTTTTTTCTTTTTGATATTTTCAAAATCGTGTATGATATACCCATGGTTATTAGTGGTGTAAATTTAATTGATGATTAGTGTTCTAGGGTTAATAGCAGATGTTAATAGCTTCAATATGTAAAAAAATATTTCCTGGACATAGCATCTTTTAAAGACATTCCTCAAATTCAGATGCACTTTCCTTACCCACAGGTTTATCTTTCATTTTGTCTTGAAGATGCCTGCCATAAAAAAATGAAATCCATTGTCTGAACAGCTACTTCACTTTGTCACATTGTCTTTAAATATTCTAAGACTTGTTCAACTTACCGTCACCATAGAAGGGCGGTGGTTTCCAGTCATCTGAAGTTGGTCGGTAGGCTTGTATGATGTCATTATCATGGACGTCTTCCCATCTTTGCATATTTTTTAAATGAAATTCATTCAAACGTTTTTGCATTCCTGTATCTTAAAAGAGAAATATTATTGATAAATTTATGTATTTTATAGATTTTACAAATTTATAAATGTACTGCATCCAAAGTCTGGAAAAAAAATAGAAGGAAAATCATCATTTTACTTCTGGTACTGATATTGAGATATTTCTGTCACAATATAACATATATACAGGCTGCAATGGATAAATTGTCATCCAAATGATGCAAAAACCAAAATAACACTGACACATCATTTTATCAGATATATTTACCAAAATTACACAAAAATATCTTGAAATACCAAAAAGTAAATTTATTCAATAAAATCACCATTAGCTTCAGTCATGCCTCCAGACGACTTGGGAATCTCCTGCATCTATTCTGGATTGTCTCCTTGTTTAAATTTGTGGATGCTGCCATAATCCTAGCATCCAGTTCATTTTTGGTGTTACAAGGGGTTTTGTTAGTCTTTTGCTCAACTGTGCTTCATACATAATAATCAAGGTTGCAGTCTGGGGAGTTCGCTGGCCAGATGTAAGGGATGATGTAATTGCAGAAATTGTCTGACAGCCATGACTGGATTCTCCTGCTTGTGTGGCATTATGCAAATTCCTGTTGCCAGACATAGGGTCTTCCAGCAGCCACCCTCTTGATCCAGGACAGCACTCTCTCCTCAAGGCACTTGATGTAAACCTCCATGTTGAGTCTGAGGTTCTCACCAACAAATTCAGTTCTTTTCTTATACTGTACCTTCATAATCACCATTAAACTCATCCAACTCTTTCTGAATCCTCTGCACTCTCCTCAGATTGACATCCAAACACTCTGAAATGTTCATATTGGAGATTCCGGTGCAAATGCCAACTAGAGCATGCCATTTCCAAATTTCTGGCAGAGTGAATTGCATCAAGGTGCTCTTTTTCTCACAGATGGTGCCCGACTGACCCTCCTATACTGTGCAGTCAGTAAAATCACAAATAAACGACATGCATAAAAATATAAAATGACTACAATTTTTCCATTGCACCCTGTATCTGATTAAGTTATTATTTTTTTTTTATTAGCTACTGGGAAAATAGTTCTCACTCAAGAGAGTACCCGACTTTTCTCTCACTCACTCAAGAGAATACCCGACTTTTCTCTCACTCACTCAAGAGAGTACCCAACTTTTCTCTCACTCAAGAGAGTACCCGACTTTTCTCTCACTCAAGAGAGTACCTAACTTCCTCTGCTGTGCTTTATCTTTACAAGAATCAGATTAAACCAAAAATCGAGTATTTCACCCTGTCCAGTCTTGACAGAATTCAAAATCATTTATGCAATGTTGTAAAGACTGTATAAATGATTGCAAATGGAATAAAAAAGATAAATACATGAAAAATTTTGAGAACAAGTGCCATTTGGCTGGAAGTTAGAAAGTTCTGCACACTGTCTAATATAAATAGAGACTTGAAGGTAGTTCTGATACTACCTGTTGGCAGAGTACAAGATGTCCATTGAGAGAGTCCTGTACTCTCTGTTTTGATAAAGAAATTAGCAAACGAGTGGTAGTAGAGTCTTCACTGTCTGAAGAGAACATTACATCCATTAGTCAGTTGTAACAAAAGTAGAAAAATCTGTCATTTTCCACTCTGCAGTCTCTTCCTCACAGACACAACATCACAAGCCTGTCACTACTTTATTGCTATTTCTATGGTAAACGTTCAGATAAGCTCCACTATTTAGCTTAAACATTTCAAACCTCCATAACAATGACTTGACATACTACATCCATGAAATCAAATCATCCCTATTCCCCCATCTTTGAATTGAAAAGAGAAAGTTCCACTCAGGTACTTTTCCCAAGAAATGCCACTTTGTAGAATCTTCACTTCTTTCTGTCTCATCTTCATATCATACACCCCATTCATTAACCTCCTATTTTGAGTGGCTGTTAGACCTTGTATTGGCTAAACAAAAATTGAAAAAAGATAATACTTACTATTGCCATTTACTGCTTCTGACTGAGCCACAATCAAGCCCCATAGGTTAGGCTGACCATTGCTGTCATTGGAGAAGAATTTCATTGGTAACAAAATAGCAATTTGCTTTCTTCTGTCCTTAGCAAAAAATGGTGCTGGACTGAATAGAATTCCTTCAGGAATCACAGGAGCTGCAACCAAAAAGACAAAAAAAAATCTAAGCAAATGATGACAAAGTGATTGTATTATCCTAAAACTGTACTGGATGTTTTACACACAGTTCCTGAACATGAGAGCTTTTTTCAAGAATGATATTGCTGAAAGGTTATTTGATTGATTGATTTGTTTGTTTAATGACATATCAAATCCTTATGGGTCCTTTAAATTTAATTTGTTGGGAGCTTTGGAATAATAAAAACATGATGTTATTCTGCTTTCACAATTGAATACATGGTAGATGATACTCAGCTTTTGTGCATATGTTTGTGTGGACATGATTACTAGAGGTGGAGATATGTGTGTTTTATGTTGTAGTTTTCTTGAAGATAGATTTTGAAATACAGTTTGATTTCTTTAAGAAATTGTCGGATATTATATGGATTCATATTGATTGTTTGGTTTTTATCTGACAGCATATCAATCTTTATGAGTTATTTAATGCCAAAATCTAAGTATTTTGAATACAATTTTATGTTTCCAACTAGAGATATGCTTTCTTAGATATATATTTTGTAGATCATAAAATGTATTGTTGGTAATTTTACTATAAAAATGTATTTTTATATTTTTTTACAGTTGTATTTATTGTTATTTTGATACAACAGTATTGGTTGATTATTTTATTATAAAAATATACTGTTGATTATTGTTTGGTGGTTAAATATTTGCCCATAGATGGGATCCTAACAGGTGCTACCACCCCGGGTCAGGGTGGACCTGGGAATGACAACAGTTAAGAGGTGGTTCCATGTTCCCATATTCCTCAAAATCTTCAATCTGCTGATCAGAGACCTTGCTGCTGGATGTAGTTTATCATCATATCCAGGATGACTAAATGATTGAACTCCTTTTGAATATGGTTCGGATGTTGTGTAGATTGCAGAATCCTTTTAGATGTGCCCTCTATGTATGGTTGACAGAATCTGGCAAATTTCGGTTTTTGTCCTTGACTCATATGTCTCTAGTAATAGAAACTTGTGCTAAATTTGCATGTGAGTTATCTTGAAGGATGTTTCTCCTGTGGATATATTTCAATGTTATAATCGTATTAAATTAGGCTTTGAACAAGAAGAAATGTAGGTGCACATTATGAGTTAGATATTATCCCCTGCACTAATTTCATAATTCTGTAATAGTGAAAAGATTAAAGAAATCTTGAAAGAAGATTAAAAGATTAAATCGTTTCACCCCAAGCAAGGCAATAATGCCACAAAGATGCAAGTGGTTACTAAGTGTCAGAGATTATGAAAAAAATACTATTAAGAAGTGAGGACAATAAAAGAACTAGAATTAAGAAAACAGAACATAGCGACAGACATTGCATTTAAATTTTTGCAGATCAAAGTTGACTTCAAAACAAGAAGCTGGAAGAGAGTTCCACAAGTGGGAAGTGCAATGGAAGAAACTGTTAGCATAGAACTTACAGTTAGATAAGCAATTTAAACTGCAAAAAATTGCCGCTAATCTAGTACCTCTAATTCATAATGTGTATGTACCATAGAGGAAAGTAATATTTATTTTGAACAAAAATGTGGCACAAGTCCAAAAGGAGGGATAAGGGAAGGCTGGTCTTCAATTTGTCTTATCTTAAACTTAGCCACTGTTACTGACCCAAATATATCACAATATTCCTTACACCAAAACAACACATTCTTTCTTGGCATTCTTACTACAGCCACCCTGATGCCTCAAGGAGTCTATAAAGTCGTAACTTAATTCCCATAGAGGAAATTTCATCAAAACAACTATCATGAAAATATTTATGGAAACAACACAGGGAAGCTATGTTATGGCAGTGAGAATGTCACTGATGCTGAAATGCCAGGTCAAGACCAATAACATTGCTGATTCTTCTTTGGATTTTATCAAGAATCTCTAAATATTTAGTGGGAACACCAGATGAAATGTGGTAGCAATAATCAAAGCAAGGATGAATGCTAGCCTTTTATTATTTAGAATGGTATTACATTTTGTTCATCAGTATGCTCACCATTATTTGAATGAATTGTTGCTACTTATCAGACAGCTCTTCAATACCTTTTGAGTAATATTTGATGGGTTTTCATGTGAAAAACCTTTTAACAAACACTTGAATCTGCTTTTCATTTAAGAAATTTTTCCCCAGAAAAAGCATTTTACAGCAATCAAAAGATAATATTCAGTTGGTGCATGATCAGGTGAATATGGTGGGTGGGGTAGAACAGGTGAATATGGTAGGTGGGGTAGAACAGGTGAATATGGTGGGTGGGGTAGAACAGGTGAATATGGTAGGTGGGGTAGAACAGACCAATCAATTTCAAAAGGCTTTTCCTGTTATTGTTGCTGTATGTGACCTTGTATTTTTGTGGAGAAGAAAAAACATTCTATTAATCCACCATGTATGCTGCCACTGGCATGCAAAGAATAAAGTATGTTAGTGTACTCCAAATTTATTTATTTATTTATTAACTGTCTCACATGAATCATAATTAGGATGATAGATTTGTCAGTAAAACCAATTCCTGAAAACACAAATGACTTATGACTCAGCCTAATATATTGAGTCAGAATTTCATAAAAACAAAGGTCACTCTCTCATTATGAAAATATTCCACAGTATATTTTTTTTTTTTTTTTTTTTTAATCAGAATCATTCCATACCAGGCAGTAAATCCACTAAGGCTCAAGTGGTTACAGGGTGTGGAGGAATTAGGAACAGAAACATCAATAATGAGCAGAAAGAGAAAAGAGTAACCAGGAAGACAGTAGATAGCAATTGACATTCCATTTAAATTTTTACAGATTAAAGTTGGCTGGAAAATATGGAGCCAAAGTGAGAAGTGCGAGAAAAGAAACTGTTAACATAGAATTTATGGCTACATCTGGCCAGCTTAACTATAACTTGATAAGATCTTGACACCAGTCAGGTTCTGCACTTAGATTCATAAAGTCTAGGTACCATAGAGTATTTATTTATTTGTAAAACTTAAAAAATGGGGAAAAGGACAGTCTTCTTCTGTCTTAACATAAAACTTAGCTAGCCACAAACACTGACACAAACATACAAACAATATTCCTTACACCAAAACAACACATTCTTACCCTTGTTACTACATCCACCATAATACCTCATTGTCTCCATGAAATTCCTAACTAGTCACCTTATGTACAATTCATTGTCTGTCAGGGGAGAGGAATAAAGCAACAATTTAAAAACGAGCCCCAATGAGTATTTACAATATGAAAACAAAACTATTTACAAGAAACTAAACAAAATAATGTTAGTAATACGACCCCCCCCAATTCCTAAATGTGGCAGAAATATCAGTTAACTGGACACAATTAATGCAGGACTTAAATAATATAAAACAAAAATTCATCCCAAACACTCACTCAAACACACTCATTCAGACACAACAACAAATATGAAAATCACACTTGAAACAAAAGGCATCCCACATCAACCAGAGAACTGACCACCTAATGAGAGAGGAGATGTGGAATTAAACCAAAGAAAAATAGTAACAGAAATAAAAGGAACCAATGAGCATGCATCCCTTAGCTAAGTTAACTTGAAGGAAGAAACTAAAGACAAACAGAAACCTAAACTAGCCTAAAGCCAGGCTGGGTTAGCATAAGTTCAGCCCAGGAAGAACAATATCCTGATGCCTAACCAGCATCAATGTGTCACTCCAAGTCAGCCCCTTTCACTCAACACAAACATACAAGATTCTCCCACCTTTTGCCAAATTCTGATGAAAAGTGCCACCACTTTTCCATCTTAATTTTGACTTTAAGCTGATGCTTAAAGTACAAGATTAGTTAGGAAGAAGTGAATTTCTCACCTCCATAGAAACCCTTCCATGCACCCAACCACAAGCCAACAGACTTATTACAGTGGATCTTGGCCTCTGTCACCATCTTGTCCTCACTGATTTCTTTGCTGACTTTGTCAATCTCAGCTCTGATCAACTCAAGAATCGAAACGTCATCAGCATAAGCAAAATACATAGCCAAGGTGGTAGCACCAGGTAGGGAAATTCTGCATAGGACCAGATTCGTCTAACTTATGAAGGAAACGTTCCAATGCAAGAATGTACAGAAAAGGCAAAAGTGGATAACCTTGATGAATGGAACAAGACAATATGAAAGGCTTTGATCATACCCCATTCACTTCCACCAGCACACCAGGAGTCACATACAGAAGTCAGATCCAAGTGCAAAAGTATGATCTGAAGCTTCCAGAAATTGATGGTCAACTTTATTGAAGGCCTTGGACTGGTCTAAATTGATCAGCGTGGTTTCACTGTCAACTTGCTTGATGATCAAGTGCACCATATGAAGTTTGTCCTGAATAGTCCTTCCCTTCACAGCACATCTGTTTGATGACAATCAGACTAGAGGACACCCTGCAAGCAGTTAGCAAACTTAGCCAAAAACCAAAGCGAAGGCCTCATCAGAACAATTACAATGAGAGTATTTATAGAAAAGTCACAGAGGCAAACTTAAAGTAGTAGGAAAGTGACTGAAGACAAGTTCAGGACTAAAAATATTGCTGATTCTTCTTTGGATCTTATCAAAGAGCTCCAGGTAAATAGCTGGACACCAGACCATATGTGGCAGCAATATTCTAAGCATGGGCAAATGGTAGACTCATAGATATGCAAGATAGGTTCCAAGAAAAAATATGTCTCACACAATACAGTGAACCAACTTTCTTAGCAGCTAACCTAGCAATGGATTCAATAGTCTTTCCACTTCATGTCCGCTGAAAATATTAGCCTGACATGGTGCAATGAGTTACTTTTCTGCAGGTTAGCATCAGCAATGATGAAGGAAAGCAAAAAGGAGTCTCTCAAATGATTAATGGAGAGAAATTTTAAAAAAAATATATATAAATTTTCAAGTTTTTCTCAAATATATTTCTTTTTGTCATGAAATTTGCTTAGTTTCAAAGACAACTCTAATATTTTGCTTGTTATTTTAAACTATA